GTGTCCTAGCCATAGGACAAAGGGCACAGAGGTTGTTTTTGTTTGTTTTCTTTTAAGTGCAACTAATGAATTAAAAACCACTGGGGGTTACTGGCCTTTAAAGAGAATCTCCAGAAGGCTACTAGCCCCGGGTTCTTTTTGAGACTATTGAATCTCTGACTCTTGGGTTCCACTCCAGTCGTATCAATTCCCTACTCTGTGCTGAACAAACAACAAAAAAATTGTAAACAGCAAAGTCGGGGGAGACAAGTGAAGGGTTGGAGCTCTTGCCAAGTTTTGAGGATTAAGAAACAGAGAAGAGTGGCCACATCTCCAGAGCCAGGACATCTCCCAGGAAGGAGAGGGCACCACTGTTCTGCATTTGTAATCCAGTGAGCTCATAGGCACTCAAACCTGGAAGAGGCACAGTCCTTTGTTTTACAGATGAGGAAACTGAGGCCTAAAGCCGATGGAGTGGGATTAACATGCAAAGGGTCACACAGCTGGTTGGTAGCAGAGCCCAAAGCACACGGCCCTGGTCTTCTCACTTACTGTTCTGTGTTATTTCCTTTACACTCCCTAAGAAACTGAGCTGGGAATTTAACCCACCAGGTGATGATGAGCAGGGCTGACAACTCCAGCATTTTTGCCTCTCCGATTGCCTAGGTAGGGCCAGAGTCATACTGGGATAGCATGCACAGGTAGGTGGGGTTTATCTTCAGGTGTCCCTCATCATGTCTTTGCCCTTTCAGCAGCCAGAGGTGCTCCTCAGCAGGAGGAGGTCCATCTCATTAACTCATTCTTCTCCAGGGAGTACAGAGAGGCAATGCTTATCAAGAAATGAATCAACTCTTAGAATATCACTCATCATTGCCCTTAAATGAGGGAGCTACTTCAGGGTTACTGATAAGGAAGGGCAGTCCCAGAGTCCTTAAATTGTGGTTTCCAAACTTGGATTATTCATATCCCATCTGCACCATTTTCACACCTTGTATTCGACTTAAACATATATTTCATATTTCTCTTTATGTTGCCTCACCTTTTTAATATATTTATTTTTACTGTCTCAGGAAAGTAAATGTTACAGACTTATTGATCTCCAGATTATAACATCTGTGTCTTAGACTGTGAGTGGAAAAGTGTACATTATTTATTAAAGTAAAATCTGTGTTTCTATAATTTAAGCCATTTTAATGACTTTTACATTGATGATTGTGTTGCTATAACAGAAATACCACAAGTGGATGGCTTTAACAAACAAATTTTATTCTCTCACAGTTTAGGAGGCTAGAAGTCTGAATTTAGGGTGCCAGCTCCAGGGGAAGGCTTTCTCTGTCGGCTCTGGGAAAAGGTCCTTGTCATCAATCTTCCTCTGGGTCTAAGAGTTCCTCAGCATAGGGACCCAGGGTCCAAAGGATGCGCTCCATTCCCAGCTCTTCTTTCTTGGTGGTAGGAGGTCCCCCTCCTCTCTGCTCGATTCTTTCGTATCTCAAAAGGGATTGACTCAAGGTATGACCTAATCCTTTTAGATTGTGTCCTGCTGCATTAACATAACTGCCTCTAATCCTACCTCATTAAAATCATAGAGGTTAGGAGTTACAACACCTAGGACAATCACATCAGATAACAAAAAGGTGGACAACCACACAATACTGCAAATCATGGCCTAGCCAAGTTGGCACACATTTTTGGGGGGACACAATTCAATCCATAACAATGATCTTTAACAAAATTTTACAGACACCAAATAAACATGTATTTTAAAAGGAAACTTGATGTCATAACTACATATGGAAAACCAGATTCAATTGCCCTAAATAAAAGGTAACTATAAAAAGAAAGAGAATGACAACAAGACAGTTATTCTAACTAGATTCCCTGTCCTGCTGAAGGCAGGATGTTAAAAAAGACCTGAATAACCTCACTATTCTCTGTTATTTGATGAATCAGGTAGGGTTGGGGGATCTCTTTGTTAGTTTATTGGGGCTGCCATAACAAACCGTGTGGCCTAAAACAGCAGAAATTTGTTCTCTTACAGTTCTGGAGGCCGGAAGTGTGAAATGAAGGTGTTGGCAGGGCCATGCACTCTCTCGAGGTCTCTTAGGCGGAATCCTTGTTCATGTCTCTCTCCTAGCTTCTGGTGGTTGCTGGCAATCCATGTTGTTCTTTGACTTGTGGCTGCATCACTTCCATCTCTGCCTCTATCATTACATGGCCTTTTTCCCCGTAAGTCTCTGTCTTCACCCAGCCTTCTTATAAGGGTGCTGGTCACTGAATTTAGGGCCCACTCTACTCTATAGGGTCACCATGAGTCAGAACCAACTCAACAGCAATAGGTTTTTTTTTTTTTTCTTTCTAATTCAGTAGGGTTGCTATGAGTCAGAATCAACTTCATGGCGATGGGTTTGGTGTTTTTTTTTTTGTTTCTAATCCAGTGTGACCTCTACTTGATGACCTCTGCAAAGGCCCTATTTCCAAATAAGGTCATATTCCCAGGTACTGGCAGTTGCAATTAGGACTTGAAGGTTTTTTTTTAATTGTTGTAAAAATATCTATAACACAACATTTGCCAATTTAACATTTTTCAGGTATACCATTTAGTGATACCAATTACATTAATCATGTACAACCATCATCCATAATAGTTACCAAATTTCCCATCATCATAAACTAAAACCGCTTCTTAAACAATGGCTCCCACTTTTCCTCCACCTCCCACCTCTGGTAACCACTAATAAACTTTAAACCCATTGCTGTCTAGTCGATTCCAACTCATAGCCACCCTGTAGGACAGAGTAGAACTGCCCCATAGGGTTTCCAAGGCTGTAATCTTTACGGAAGCAGACGGCCACATCTTTCTCCCGAGGAGCAGCTGGTGGGTTCAAATCGTCGACCTTTCAGTTAGAAGCCAAGCGCTTAACTACTGTGCCACCAGAGCTCCTTAATAAACTTTAGTCTCTATATATTTGCCTATTCTAGATATTTCAAATAAGAGGGATCATACAATATTTGTCCTTTTGTGACTAACTTATTTCACTCACCATGTTTTTAACCACCACTCTGTTTTCATCTGTCCTGGAAGAAGTACATCCAAAATGCTCATTAGAAGCGAGAATGGCGAAACTTCGTCTTACGCACTTTGGACATGTTGTCAGAAGGGACCAGTCCCTGGAGAAGGACATCATGCCTGGTAAAGTAAAGGGTCAGCGAAAAAGAGGAAGACCCTCAATGAGATGGATTGACACAGGGGCTGCAACACTGGGCTCAAACATAACAATAATTGTGAGGATGGCACAGGATCTGGCAGTGTATCGTTCTGTTGCACACAGGGTTGCTGTGAGTCAGAACCAACTTGATGGCATCTAACAATAACAACGTATTCAAGGTTCCTCCATGTTGTAGCATGTATCAGGACTTCATTTCTCTTACGGCTGAGTAGTATTCCATTGTATGTATATGCCACATTTTGTTTATCCTTTAATTCGCTGATGGACACTTAGGTTGTTTCCGCCTTTTGGCTATTGTGAATAGTGCTGCAATGAACATTAGTGTATGTGTGTATGTTTGTGTCACTGTTTTCAAGTCTCTTGGGTATACACCTAGGAGTGGAATTCCTGGATTCATATGGTAGTTCTATGTGTAGCTTTATGAGGAATCACCAAACCGTTTGCCATAGCAGCTGTACCATTTTGCATTCCCACCAGCAATGGATAAAGGTTCCAATTTCTCCACATCCTTGCCAACATTTGTTATTTTTATTTATTTATTTTAATTTAGCCATCCTAGAAGGAGTCCTGGTGGCACAGTGGTTAAGCACTCGGCTGCTAAACAAGTGGTCAGTGGTTGGAACCTACCAGCTGCTCCATCAGAGAAAGATGTGACAGCCTGCTTCTGTAAAAATTTACAGCCTTGGAAACCTTCTGGGGCAATTCTCAGTCCTGTAGTGGCTCTAGAGCCTGAACTGACTTGACAGCAATGGGTTTTTTTTAGTAGTAGGAGTAAAGTGGTATCATTGTGGTTTTGATTTGCATCTCTCTAATGGCTAATGACATTGAGGATCTTTTCACGTGCTTGTTGGCCATTCAGATATCCTCTTTGGTGAAATGTCTGTTCAAGGATTTCAGTGTGTTTTTGAGGGAGACACAATTTAACTCACTACAGTCTCCCACAAGGAACTTGGGTCCCATACTTGGAAACACTCTTTATATGGTATCCCTTAGATGATGGCAGCCTTACAGGTGCCTCCTGGGTGTGGTTTAAGGATTGTGAATAATTCAAAAAGACATGGTCCTCACCCTAGGGAGTAAGACTAATACTTGCGAAAGGAGGGTGGAAAAGAAGAAAAGGAATGGAATGCAGGATGTACAAACCCTGTAGTGCAGTGACACATCAGCAGATGGGTGACCGGTAAAAGAGGCAGCCCGGGGGCTTCTCGGTCCTAGCAGGAGAGCCTTCTGTGGGGCAGGTAGAGCTCAGTGGGCAAGTTCACTATCCTCTGCCCCTTCTCCTCTCCACAAAGCCCAGGCAGGAGAACTTCTCACTAGTTTTACTAGTTTGGATGAGTCACTTAATTTTTCTGTCTGCTCATTTGTAAAATGGGGTTAAAGAGACCTATTCTGAGTATTACACAAGAGTGTCCTAAGGACAAAATTGAATAATGAATAAAAATGCACTTTTCCCACTGTTGGCTATGACTGTCACAAGGAGTCACACCAATTACTGATTAGTGTCTAAGGTGATGGGCATTAAGGAGAGTTTCTGAGATAGCACGGCACACGGGGCTCTGAGGAGAGCGGCCAGTGGGCCCCTCCCTCAGAGCACCCTAAGTGAAAGCAGTCAGGGCAGTTCAGAGAAGCAGAGTCCTGGGCTGCAGCCAGGCCCCCAAATCAGCCTCACTCTCCCCTGGTGCAGCTTAAAAGCAGGAGAACCTGTTGCCTCTGCTATAGCCACACCCCACAGAACTGGAAAATAAGTAGGCAGGTGGTTCATAGTGGCTTTCCCATCCTCCCTGTGCCCTCCAGGTACCAGGATCATCTATGACCGGAAATTCCTGATTGAGTGTCGGAACTCACCTGTGGCCAAAACACCCCCCCAGGACCTGCCCACCATTCCTGGGGTCACCAGCCCTGCCAGTGAGGCACCTCCCATGGAAGCCAGGCAGAACCACCTACAGAACAGTCCAGAAGACAAGCCAGTGTGTGGTGAGTGGCTGGGCTCGGCCAGACTCTACCTTGAGAAGGGGAATGTATAAGGCTTATGGGCCTTATCCACTAGGGGGAATGATGGTGGCTCTGCCCCACCTTTTGTGGAGCAGCCCAGAGTCTAGAGGTTGGGGGCAGGGATGAGGAGGTAGAACTGTTATTGGCACCAACTTTCCCAATGAAAGGGGCCCAAGAGCCCCAGGAAAGGTTAGTGGGGAGCTTGTTTGAAATGGCAGTGGCTTCACACAGCAACTTCCATAATCGTGCCCCTTTGTATAATTATCACGGAAGCATTACCACTCATCTGCGGCTCTTGGAATGCACCCATGATGTTCCTGGTGCCTGAGACAACTTATCAAAGACGCGGCGTACTTGCCCTCTAGGAAATTACACGTCTACAGGATAAGAAACGCATCTGGGAGGTCTTCTGTCAGTTTTGGTCCGACAGTGGATTCTTTTTGAAGAGAGGTAGAAACAGTGTGGCCAGTTGTTTCTGCAAGTTTGGCATTCAGTTGCTAGGTCCTTCCTGGTGTCCCCACCTCCCGATTACTCAGACCAGTTACCCTAGAGATGTGTGTAAGTGTTCTCTTTATGGCATTGTGACCAGCTTGCCAGAGTGAGCGCAGAGCTAAGGGAGGATGCCGTGTAAGCACTCCCAGACGGCCTGAGTCAGAGTGGAACCCTGTGACCCTTCACCCAGGGCAGTATACCAGGCCCAGACAGGAAACAGCTGGGCCAGGGGCTGGGCTTGCTCTGCCGACAGCAGCGGAAACTCATCAGACCCAGGGCCTACAGGATGTGATGCACAGACTTTCTTAGGAGCCCCACAGCCCAAGACAGGTAACAACTGCCTTGCCTTTCAAACTTGGAGAGCAGTGGTGGGGAGGGAGGTGAGCAGCAGCATGAGGGTGGAGTCAGGCATACACGCAGCAATGTGAGAGATGTCACAAGGCAGCATGGTTAGCTGTCACTTGTTAAGAGAAGGGAAGAAGGATGGACAGGTTCACATGGATAGCTGCAGTGTTTCCCTAACCTCCCCCACCCCCATTTGCCTCAGACTATACACCGGGGCCCTGGTGGCACAACGGTTAAGCACTTGGCTGCTAACCAAAAGGTTGGCGGTTCAAACTCTCTCAGCAGCTCTGCTAGAGAAAGACCTGGCAAGCTGCTCCTGTAAAGATTACAGCCTAGAAAACCCTATGGAGCACTTCTACTCTGTCACATGGGGTTGCCATGAATCGGAATTGACTCAGTGGCACCCAACAACAAACACTGGAAGTTGAGGATGGGGTCAGTCAACACCTGAAGTTGTCAAGTCACCACTACCTGAAGGCTGCCCCTCACCCCCACTTGCATTCCCTTCCTTCCCAGTTTCTACAGCTGCTTTGGCCCAGAACAAATGCAGGATTGCCCCAGTGGTGCCCTGCAGGAACAGCTCTTAACCAAAACAATGGCCTAGTAGCCCTGTACAGTTATGAAGGGATGTGGTGGCGTGGGGGGCAGAGTTCTTCATTTTGATTCGCTGGATTTAAGAAGCCAAGCTCCTGCCCTTGAACTCACATCTTTGTGCATATATAACCAGAAGAGGTTGGTTGTGTCCATGGGGGGGGGGGTGCCAGAGCAGGCATTTTCCTATAAAACCTTGGAGTAGCCCCACGCAGGAGATTTGTAAAGAAGGCAGTTCTATTAAAAAGAAAAAAAAAAAAATCTGCCATAGTATGAATTACTTGGAAATTTTGGTAGAAAGAGGAAGGTAAGGGCAGTGAGTGGCTGAATTTACCACAGGATTAGGCTATTCCACAGGCAATTAGATGTATGCCTAGTAAGCTGTGGTACCATTTTCTAAACCAAAAATCAGGACACGTGCTTGGAAAATTTTCCTGTTTAAGGAATATTTTTCTATGAAGTTGTACAAAGGCATGAAAATAAAATCACACGTGACCACTTACCCTTATTAAAAATAATAAAAAGTATACAAACTTCAGGACTGTCACCTCTCCTATGGGGAAACCTGTTCCCTGCTCTTCCTTTGAGATTGGGGAAGAGAATACAGTTAGAAAGAAACCCTTAAAGCTTGTGTTTCCAGGAATTCCTGCTTTAGTCCTGCCCCTGCTCCACCCTCGCTGGCAACATAAACCTGGCCCCTGCTCTTCTTATAGGAACAACAGAATGAAAAACTAGCGCCTCTTCCTGGGTTCCTTTGCTCATCTGGCCTTCTGGTCTTTTCTCTCCCAGGTGAAGAATCACAGTTTGAGATGGACATTTAGAGGACCAGCCATCGGAGCAAGCAATGCCTCTGAGCCCCTCAGGCCCTTCTCAGGAGAAGAACCACACCAGCTGGGTCTTAGGAATGTTATCGCCCTGGGAAGGCATCGGGTGTGTGGGGTCGGCCACCCGGCCCTCTCCTCCCTCACTCAGGGCACCTGCTCCCCTTCCCCTTAGTGAGCACCAACAGATACCTCCATGTGCCTCTGGATGCAGAGCTGCCACCCTAAGCGGAGTGACTCTCATGAGCATACCCCCATAGCCGAGGGGCCGGAAGTGGATACGGAGGAGCCCTTCTGACTGATGGTCTTGCTCTTCCAGCCCCATCCTCTAGGGGTGCCCCTTCCTTAGGTTGGTGTGCAGTGGGAAAGCATCCCTAGCCCTCCTTCCCCAGAGAGGAAATAAAAGCCACCTTTACTCTGGGGCCAAGAGTTGGGCCCTGTCTGAGCTCTTTTCGGCTTCATGTGATAACTAACACCAGCTACTATTCATACCGTGCTTTTAAAGCACTTACCTATCCCACATTATCTCACTTGATTTTCACACTGATCCTGTAAGGTAAGTAGAGCAAGCATTATTGTCCTCACTCTACAGAGTGAGAAGATGGGCCAGGGAAGTTAAAACCACACAGCTAGTAAATGACAGGGGACTGGGTTCAAGCTCTGCTACTCTGTCTCGGGTGTTTCAGTGGTGGAAGCTGCCTCTCTTCTGGGCTCACCCACCCCTCAAGCCCAAGCCTGTTAAATGACCCTGTAACACTCCCCATCAGGGTCCATTCCATGTGAGAGTCAAAGGAAGAGCCTGAGCCTCAGGGCACAGCAGAGTCTAACTGATCCATGTACACCAGGTGTTTGCTGAGTGACCCCTTTGTGTGAGCTGTCATGGGGGATGCCAACCCGAGACAAGCTCTCAGCCTTGGGAATGTCACTGAAACATAAGATTTGCCTATAAAAAAAAGTAGCATAAGAGACAGCAAGATTGCGTATGATGGGTTACCAAGGAGTGCTCCATGGAAGTGTTTTGCAAGTGCTAGAAGCTTCGTGGAGGAGGTGGCATTGCAGCTGGGCCCTGAAGAATGAGTGGGTAGGGGAGGCAGGGCCAGTGTTACAGAGGTCAGATGGTCTTGGGGAACCAGGATGTGTAAGGACAGGACAGCAAGAAGCCTGCTTTGGCCAGAGCAGGCAACTTGTGTGGGTGGGGATGGCTTTTATAAAAGCCCCAAAAGGGCCAGATTTCTAAGGCCTTAAGTGCCAGGCAGAGATCTTTGCTAAGAAGCAACAGGTGTTTCTCATTAAAGGATATGCTGGGGGATGGATGGCCTTTGCACAGAGGCAGTGGCTGACATGGATTTTACAAGCTCCAGGCTCGTAACACTTAGATAAATCTCCATTGATTGGCCTTCTCTATAGCTGACTAAAGGAGCCCTGGTGGCACAATGGTTATGTGCTCAGCTGGTAACCGGAAGGTTAGCTGTTCAAATCCACTAGCCACTCCACAGGAAAGAAGTCCTGGTGATCTGGTCCTGTAAAGATTACAGCCCAGGAAACCCTATGGGGCCGCTATCAGTTGGAATCAACTTGACAGCACACAACAATAACAACAGCTGAATAGATGGCCGGTGAAAATAAGGGAAACCCTCAGTGAGATGGGTTGACATGATAGCCGCAACAATGGACTCAAACACCAATGATCATGAAGATGGCGCAGGACCAGGCAGTGTTTCATCTGTTATACGTAAGGTTTCTGTGAGTCAGAGCTGACTTGGTGGCAACTAACAACAACAACAAGGAGCTGAGTTGGAGCCCCCTCTCTTCCCAAGGACTATAAAGGCAGCTAGAATCTGTGCCTGGTGTGTGGAAGGGCCTGGCTATGGGAGGTGTGTTAACTCTAGGCACGCCTTTCCATATGGGTGGGAAAAGCGAGGCTAGGGATGGGCCACCACCAGAGCAAAGACCCACGGAAGTTCCAACTAGGAACAAATAAGGGACTGCCTCAGCCTTCCCAATCCCTTAGCTGTCCAGTAAAAGCAGCCCACTCTCCCCTCCTGGCGTCTTGAAGCAGACCAGAGGTCTTGCTCACCAGTCTGCGTGATCAAGTCCACTCTCCTTGTTTGCACATCTCAGGGTCCAGCAAATGGGATTTAAAATTGACTTCCCTGATAGTTCAGGTGCCACAATAACAAAACGGATCAGAAGTTGTGTTCCTTTCCCACTGAGCAAGTATCCTCCAGAAGACCTCTGTATTTATTTCTTGGGATCAATTCTGGCTGGGTGCTTTGGAGATGAGCAAAGATCTACAAGAGTCCTTGTCTTCATGGAAGTTAAAATCTAGTTGGGGAGGTGAGACTGCTGTGGTTCAACTCAACATTCCAGGGTACTAAGGCTTAAAGCTTTTTGAGAGATGCTCACTCACTCCAGGAGACCATTACAGTTGTCCTCTGGCATCACCAAAACCGTTATAGTTGGCCTCTGGCATCACCAAAACCATTAAAGTTGGGGAGCCTGCTGACAAATGTCAAACAGATGCCATGTGCCATGAACCTGCTGAAATTAAGAAAAAAAAAAAGTTTTAAGCCATAGTGTGTGTTACGAAGGAGCTTACAAGCTGATCTGTAGGTGAGATATACTGTGAATAGTAAAAGGACACGCAGAAATGTCATAAAGCAATGCGTGATCGTCTAATGAGTGGTGGTGGTATCAGTGCCACCAGTTAAAGGAATCTTTGAGGTCTGGGAAGCCTTTACAGAGGGGGCCAAGATGGGTCTGGTAGGGTTTTAATTCAGTTTTGGAGTTGGCTGCTGGTTTAGTAATTGCTCAGAGTGAGGGTGAAAGCCAAACTGAACCTTGGGGAATGCTCCTGGGGAGCACGAGGGGAATACAGGGAGCTGAACTGCCAGTGATTTTCCCACCTCCCGCTGCTGTTGGCACAGCTGTGGGTATTTCCCCAACTCTAGGCAGCCAAGACTGATGCACTGACTGCAGCCATCTTCCTCTCAGCACCCTTTAGTGCGATGTTCATTAAGAGGACTCGGAAAGGAACAGACATGACCAACCAAGAAGGCCGAGTTCATCTCTAGACCCATTAACACCACCTTGATTCTTGAAATAAGTAGAACAAAGTCTCCTTTCTCATCTGCAGCAGATTAAATGAACACCAGAAAGTACCCAAACCCATTGCTGTCGAGTCGATTCCAACTCTAGTGACCCTATAGGACAGTAAATGCCCCAGAAGGTTTCCAGGGAACAGCTGGTAGATCCGAACTATCGACCTTTTGGTTAGGAGCCCAGCTCTTAACCACTGTACCACCAGGACTCCACCAGAAAGTAAGGTACCCTCTTTTCCTGCAGGTTAAGTGCGACCCCTGAGGATTAGGGTTTCTTGAATTTCAGACATTCCAAACAATATGACTTGGATGTATCCTAGAAGGAGAGTGGGCTTCAGCAAAGTGAAGGCGAATCACATCTCCCCCAATTGCTGTTCAGAGGCCACAGCATGGGAAGCTGTTTTTTAAAAGGAGGAACCTTCGAGATTATTTGTTCCGTAGGTTCTGATAAGAGAAATACCGTTTTTAAATTGCTGGTTACAATACATACTAAATTTAGTGCTGCCCCCTGCTGAAAGAGTACATTAAAACAACGAAGCCTGCATCTCAGAAACCCATCTGGTTAGGTGAAGAAGGCTCATGTATTCTAGACCTGAGCACCCTTCTCCACATTATCTCTTTTGAGATTATGAGACTGGACCCTCATTCTCTGAGAGAACACTGAGGGAGAAGTTTTCAGACACGGTGACCAGAGGTGAATTGTGATGGAGCAGAACCAGCGTTAGAGTAGGACACTCCTACATTGCCCAGATCTGGTTTGGAGCAAACTTGTTACAGCTCTGCTTCCTCCCTTCCACCAAGCATTCACAGCCATGCATATGGCCACATTGCCTTCTGGCTCCCAGCTCACCACTCAGGCCAGCAGTAGCCAGCAGACTATCTGCCAAGGAACTCCAGTTGGGAGTAAAGTTTACACTTTCGCAGCTCTTCTCAAAACCACAGCTTCCACCATTAGGTTGCATTTAAAGCTCATTACCTTCTTTTCCTAGTCACCCCACCCTAATATGGGAGAAGCAAGACTACCTTCCAAAAGGGCAGTCAGGACTCTGAGCTGTTTAAAACTCCTTCCTTAGCCTGTACAAGGTCAGTTCAGATTTGCATTGGAATCATGGATATAAATGTAGCCATCGTTTAGGTAATCCCCCAACTCCTGGGGTGGTTTCAGCTTCTGAACCCACCTAGAAGCCTATTCACAGCTGTGATTCCTAACTCCTAAGCTGAGCCTCTAACTCCAAAGAAGGACATGTACAGCATGTTAGAAAGCCCTGATGCACTACAAAGCAGCACTGACACCCAAATTCTCTTTAAACCTGCTGAACTTCACCATGTACGCTCTTACTCAATTCACTGACAAATTATGCTAGTGGTGCTAATCTGATTTTGGGGAAAAGTAGCATGAGTTCCTCTCCTCTTTCCTCCATACCAAAAATCAAACCTGTTGCCATCGAGTCGATTCTGACTCATAGTGACCCTATAAGACAGAGTAGAACTGATCCACAGGGTTTCCAAGGAGCAGCCTTTTGGTTAGCAGCTGAGTTCTTAGCCATTGCGCCACCAGAGCTCCCTTCGCTCCATAAAAAAAACAAAACACACTCGTTGCCATCGAGTCAATTCTGACTCAAGCAACCCTACAGGGCAGAGTAGAACTGCGCCATAGGGTTTCCAAGGAGTGGGTGGTGGATTTGAACTGCCAAACTTTTGGTTAGTAGCCTGAACTCTTAACCACTGTGCCACCAGGGCACCAAAAAAACAAACCTGTTGTCATCAAGCCGATTCTAACTCATAGTGACCCTATAGAACACAGTAGAACTACCCTGTAGGTTTTCCACAGAGCAGCTGGTAGATTCGAACTGCCGACCTTTTGGTTAGCAGCCAAGTTCTTAACCACTGCTCTACCGGGGTCCAATGAGTTTCCTCCATAAAACCAAAACCAAACCTGATGCCGTCAAGTCGATTCCAACTCATAGCAAC